TCCTTGTTCCCTAGCGGCCGGGGCTGCTGGGGGCTGCCAGCCCCGCGCCACTTCCCGGAGCCGCCCCGGCCCGCCCCAGGTCTGTCAACCCGCCCTGCTGAGCGCCCGGGGCGAGACCGTGTCCCGGGCCAACCGGGCCCCTGTCTGCCCTGCAGGGGCGACCTTCGTAACGCTACTGGGGCCAGTGGGGGAGGCCTGGGGGTGTACGGGTTACGGCGCACACGTGGGGCGTCTCCCTTTGCCCTTGGGCTTGGACAAGGCAGGGCGGAGAATAAAAGTCCCCCTGGGAATTCTTGGCCAGGAAAGGCCCTTTGCGGTACAGGGGGGCTTGAGGGATAAGTGCCTGCTTGTTCCAGGCACAGCGGACTTCCTCGGGTAGGCTGCTTCTGGACCAGGGTGTCTAAACTGGCTGTTTATGATGATGGACTTTAGCAACTGTAGTCTAAGGCACGAAACCTCTGCTTTAGATATACATTTTTTTGACAATGTAATTTGCCTACTATGTATCCAAATAATCCTTGACTACTATGTATTGTGCTTTTTCTGCATTGTGTGATCTCCCTGTGTGTTGCACAATCACAAATATGAAAAAGAGTAAATACATTGAAAAGGGCAATCTCATAGTGTTGATGGAATATCACTTTAGTTTGCAAAGAGATGGAGATTTATGTGGTCGTTCAAGGTTTTTCTGTAATGTTTAAATTTGTTTTTGCACAATACCATTTAATTCTATGGGAGGTAGTGTTGCCTAGTGACTAAAGTATATATTTGGGACTCAGAATACCTGGGTTTTATAATTTAATTTGTTGGCTGACCTTCAGCAAGTAACTTCACTTTCCTATGCTCACTTTCTCAGCTGTAAAATGGGAATAACAAAGCACCTTATACAAAGAAGATAAACTAGAAATTTACTGATGAACAGCTTTATAAAAGAGTTAGGTACAATAAAAGCTGTTATTTGGCACTCAACCAAAAAGCTCAATTAACGGGCATTTCTGATATCTCCAAATACAAAATTTCAGTCTAATAATCAGAACTAGTATACTAACTGGTATAGTACGAGTCAGAAGACAAGTAAGCAAGATGAAACCAGCCATTTATTAAAAATGCATCTTTCATAGGGCCATAGATTCAGCTTAGTCTCTGCACCTTCTAATTTTCCAATGACAATTCATGTTGATATTGATGACCCTATGGAACTGCAAGATCCTGAAGTGCTTCCTGAATCATCAAAGAAAGATTAAATTATGTTCAGTACAGTTTTTGTGTAAAGTGTATTTTTAGTAATGTGGATGTACATCATGTGCTCCCGGTAGTGATATATAGTGTGATAAGATACTCACCTGTACAGAAAAGTTACACATATATAGGTAAGTGCTTCAAGAAACTAACCACTTTGCAATGCAGTACTACTGCATTGGTGAGTATCTGTTTACTATTTTATACTTTATTCATTTTATTGTATTTTAATTATTTGAAAATTGGTATTCCATTGGGTAAAGAGTAATTCTCAGTTAACCAGAATATTCCGTTAACTGGCAATCCCCATTCCGTCAATATACCAGATAACAGAGCTTTTACTGTATTTATGATCTGGCACTTAGACTAGAAATATGTTTTTGGTTGTGCCCTTATGATTCACTTAATTCAGAATCTGCAGAGGAAAGACTTGAATGTTTAGTTTCCCCCTCTTTTATTTACCCAAGAATTGTCCAGAAAAGCAAAAAAAGGGGAATGCTCATCCTTATTTGACTGCTAGCTTCGCAAATTAAGGGTCTTGGAGTGAGAATCCGGCAAGACTGAAACAATTAGAGAAGTCTGTTGAGACTTTATTTGTGCTATGGTTTGACACATCACTCGGACTGTCTGGACAGTCTTGATTAGCTGTGATTATCCCATTCTTTGGGCAATGTGAATAATGTACTGATGATGTCATTGTGTTCAATGGTCATGGTAGTTTGCACTGGGCCTCACTAATGTGCCACATCTGTGCATCTGCATTGGTGTATCCATGCAGGTGGAGCGTGTCTGGTGAAAATATGCTTATGTCAATGGAAGACTCCTCTTCTGTCAACAAAATTACTCAGCCTGAATGAGAGGCAGGAGCAATTTTGGTGGGAGAGCATCTTCTGTTGGTGTAGCTTTGTGTGGATGACACTTAGGGTACATCTAGACTACATGCCTCTGGCGGCAGAGGCATGTAGATTAGACTACCCGGCATAGGAAAATGAAGCGGCGATTTAAATAATTGCCGCTTCATTTAAATTTACATGGCTGCCGCGCGCTGAGCCGACCAGCTGTTTGTCGGCTCAGTGCGGTAGTCTGGACGCTCCGCAGTCAACATCAAAGGCATTTGTTGACCTCCCGGGTATGCCTCATCCCAGGAGGCATACCCGGGAGGTCGACAAATGCCTTTGATGTCGACTGCGGAACGTCCAGACTATCACGCTGAGCCGACAAACAGCTGATCGGCTCAGCGTGTGGCAGTCATGTAAATTTAAATGAAGCGGCAATTATTTAAATCGCCGCTTCATTTTCCTATGCCGGGTAGTCTAATCTACATGCCTCTGCCGCCGGAGGCATGTAGTCTAGACGTACCCTCAAATCAATATAACTTAAGTCACTCAAAGGGGAGGTTTTGCACACCTTGAAGGACACAAGTTACATGTGCTTAGGTGATAGTGTAGACAAGTCACTTTTTGTTCTTCAAGGCTTTCATTTTCCTTTCTAACTGTTTGTCCTAAATATTTCAGGAAACTGTGAATTTAATGTTAGTAATTATTGTCTACCGAAGCAGATGTTCTCAACCTTTTTTATTCTGAGTCCATCACCCAATATGTCACCCATTGTGTCACAACAGCTGCTTTTCTGTAAACAGGGTGGCAGTTTAGCCACAGATGCCCTTGTCAAGCCAAGTTGCTCAGAGTTTGGCTTCAGCGCTAGGTGGCTGGGCTTAGGGTCCTGGACTTCAGCCTCAAGCAGTGGGGCTTTGGCTTGTCTGTCCTGAACCCCAGTAAGTATGATGCTGACCCAGCTTCATGGGCTTCCTGACACCTAATCATGGCCCCCTGAGTGCCCCGTATCTCTGGCTGAGAACCACTCTACCAAAGTATGCACACTTGGCTTTCTGTTTGTGTGTAAAAGGTAGGTGAGTGTAGTCATTACCATTGATGTCAGGCCTACTGTGCTGCATCCTTTCCTTTCCACTTCTGTTTTCTGTAATTGACAATCTTGTGTGTGTGTGTCAACATTTTCTTGTGCAAGGATTGAAAACTAGTTTATCATAAGCTGTATTACAGTACAGACATGTAGGCTTTTGGACCGAAATCCACCCGTGCTGTCTGTTTTCTTCCATTATTTTAATACTGGAGTGGTTTATTTTGTTTAATAAATATAAAGTTTGCTTTTCTGTTTCTGTACTTCTCATTTTTCAATCCCTGGTAGAGATTTAATTAATATTTTCCTTTTAGTTGCTTCTGACTCGGCATGCTCCCTTGTCAATCACTATTTTCACTTCAGGTTTGATTTAGGAGGCATTGTGAAATGAAATAATCCTAACTGTTTCTTGATTCTGTTAGTTGGCCTTTGTGCTTGTTTTTGAATGATGGGCTCGGGGCTGAGTAGGCCAGAATGCTCTGTGATCATACTACTGGTCTCTCGATTTGCTAAGTGTTGAAGTTGACAACAGATGTCTGTGCTGGAGAGCAGTAAGCACAGGGGAGGAACCAGGAGGAGATTATATTTGAGAAAAATAAATCCTTAATGTAAATCTGTTGATTTTGGAATTAACATCAGAGATGGCTTTGTCTGCTTCTGATATTTACCTGTGTAAAATAAAGTGTAACTTTTTTGTTAGTTAAGGATAATATGCCTGGTAACAGTTTTCCTGAGCAATAGTCTTTTGTACTGTCCTAGGAGAGAACTAATTTGTCTTTGAGTTTCTGGATTATATTTTTAATAATTGAATTATCTCTTAAAATGGGTCACTTGACCTCTCTTGAAATTTGAATAAAGAAAAAGGAAGATGGCTGGAATAACTTGAAGAAGACTCCTTGCTTCTCTTTTTCCTCGGCTGGAATATTTAATGGATACAATCAATTTGAGCTAGCCCGTGTTTTTAAAAATGAGGTAAAAGTAGATTTTGGTGTTCTATCTATAGAGCCCTGCAAATCTGCAGATATCCACTAGCCTTATTTTCCATGTTCCCATGTTTGTTCATAATAATTTTGTTTTACATATTTTGCCATTTTTTTAAATTTAATAGTTGTCCGTTGTGTGTCTTTCTGTGGAGGTTTTATCATCTTTATATTTTTCATGCACTATGACTTTCAGTAATTTTTCTCTTGTCTGCCTACCTTTTGTCCCCCCCCCCTTCCAAAAAACCTTCCCCCATACTTTTTTGAATCTTTTATACTCTCTCTGATTTGAGGTGAAGGCATTAGTTTTGCCCCAAAGGTTTTTTGCACAGTGTTACTGTTGTTAGCTCTCCTGTGTTACCAAAGCACAATAGATTTTAAAATATTAATTATGCTCAAAGCATGCATCTCCTAAGTAATTTACTCTTGAACTTAATAGCTTAGGGTAACATCTTGGGGAGTTAGAAGAGGGTCTGAGAAATGAGGGAGATGATTTTCACCCCTAGCATTTTCAGCAGATCTTTTTCAGGCATGAGGAGGTGATCTGGAATATGCTTGTAGCAGGAAGGAAGCAGTTATTTGTGTGCTCTCCAGATGCACATGGGTACTTTTTTTCATTAACTTGTGTTTGTCAACACTTGCTTCTGAGTGCACAGGCCAGAATAGGTTGTGGTAAGAAGTAGGACCACATTTAAAATAGGGATCTTAGCTTTTGGTTAATTGAATAGTCAACTAACCGCATGAATTATTAGTGTTTAGTTGATTAGTCTGTAGTCCTAGGGGTGGGGCCAGTAGCCAGTGCAATCTGGCCCACACCAGGGTAGGGATGCTAAATATCAGTTAATTGAATAGTTGAGTAACCTCATGAATTCTTATCAGTTAATTGACTATTCTGTAGTCCCAGGGGTGGGGCTGGCAGCCAGTGCACCCCAGCCTCACCCCCGAGGAGCCCCCTGCCACTTGGTGCTGCTGCCTCTCTCTCAGAGGCGGCAGCAGCATGGGATGCCAGGCGGGAGCTGGTCCATGAGGGGAGCCAATTTAAAAAAACAGCCTCCCTTGAGGTCTGTCTGCTTGTCGCCCGGTGCTGCAGCCTCTGATAAAGAGGCAGCAGTGCGGTGTGGCAGCAGCCCCTGTTTATTCAGGATGAGCTCACATCCTAAGGATAGAGGCCATCGCCATTATTATTGATGCTAATAAGAAACTGCTGAAAAAAGATAAGTAGTAAACTTCACACTATCCATTTCATAAGATTGACTAGCGAGGATGCCTTTCTAAGGATTTACATATCTTTAGGTCAGTGGTCTCCAACCTTTTTAACCACAAGATCACTTTTTCTAGTTAAGTGCAATGTAAGATCTACCTCAAACCCAAATAACTTTGCCCAGTTTCCTTTCCCCCCCTTCTCTGAGGCCCCGCCCCTGCTTCACCCCTTCTCCGAGGCCTCACTCTGCTCACTCCATCCCTCTTCCTCCCCGAATCTCATTCGCTTTCACCAGGCTGGGGTAGGGGTTTGGGGTGCAGGCTCTGGTCTTGGGCCAAGGGGTTTGGACTGTGGGAGGGATGGCGCTGTCTCCCGCGTTAGGAAAGCAGGGTAAGTGATGCCCTGAAGTTACAGAGGTGGGGTGGGTTCTGGAGTGGCTTAGGGGATAGGGCATTCACCTGGGGAGCACAGGGTGATGGGCTCAAGTCCCATCCCTGCCTCTACCCATCCTAGGAGCAGCTGGAGCCAACACAGGATAAAGGTCCCTCTGGAGGTGGGGTGGGTTCTCAAGTGGACTAGGACATACAGCATTTGCCTTGGGAACACAGTGTGGCCAGGTTCAAGGCCTGCACACCCTGGGAGCAACTGGACAGCCAACACAGGCTTCTCCAGGGCTGGACCTGGCTCCTGCATTAGGAAAGGAGGCAGGAAGATGGGGTGGGCCTTGGAGTGGCTTAGGGGATAGGGCACTTGCCTGGGGGAGGGCAGGGCTGTGGCTCAAGTCCCACTAGACAGCTGCCTCAGGCTTGCCCACATCCTGGCACTCCTGAAAGCAGCTGGCATGTAAAGCAATGTCTCCACGCACTGCCCCTCATCGACAGGCACCAACCACACAGCTTCTACTGGCCAAAGTTCTCTATTATTGTTCAGTGGGAGCTGCAGGAGTGTGTCCACAGGCAAGAACAGCATGTGGAGACCCCCTGGCTCTAATCTTCTCAGGGACATGCCAGCCATTTCCAGGAGCACAATTGCCATAGGGATAATGACTCCAGCCACAGCAGGTTAGGCATTTTAGTACTCACTACTCAAACAATTAAATTTAAGCACGAGAGAAATGAAAGTTATGAAATGCACAGACCAGTCAAACTAAAAGTAACACACTTTACAAGCAGAAAAGAGAAACAAAGGCCCCCTCCCCCCGCCCCCCATGTATGTGTTGGGTCAGGAGATGAGGGAAGGACAGCGTGTGTTTGTAAGAATGACAGTCACACAGTGTGTGTGTCTGTCATTCTTACAGAGTGACAGAGATTTGCATTGCCAAGCTCCCTCCGTCCTCTTCTCTCCGTGTGGAGACAGGGTACAGGAATGGGGGGAGGACATCAGCACCCCCCCTTCTCTCCCACACCCTGCACAGCAAGCAGGAGGCTCCCAAGGGGCAGCTCCAAGGCAGAGCAGGACCAGCATGACAGTGGGTGAAGCACCAGCACTTGCCAGTCTAGACGCAGCCTTGGACTTTCAGAAGGACCGTGGCAGGGCCCCTCCTCCAGGGACGACGGGTCCCTGGCTGGTTCCTGGGTGGAAAGGAACGGCCAGTTTCCCCCTGGGGGAGGACAGTCGCTTTGTGCTGGAGATCTGCCCCGCTTCCTGGCCAAACCAGTCAGAATCACCTGTCAGAAGCTCAAAGACCTACTGGTAGATCAGAATCTACCAGTTGGTGACCACTGGTGTAGTCTATACCGTTAACCTATAAGCTTTTGCTTACCGATGAATCGGTTAATCGACTACACTATTACATCTCTACTCCCAGGGAGCCCCCTGATATCCAATGTGGCTGCCTCTGTATCAGAGGCAGCAGCACGGGGTGCCATGCAGGAGCCAGTCCACGAGGGGAGACCATTTAAAAACCAGATCTGCTGATGAACCGGCTACTTGCTGTCCTGTGCTGCTGTCTCTGATACAGAGGCAGCAGGATGGCAAGGCAGCAGTACCTGCCTGCAGGGGGTCTGAGCTCCCTTTGGACAGAGGTTGTTGTGGGGGAAATGGGGTAAGAGCCGGGAGGCTGCCGCAAAGTAGCCTCTGTCCATGGCCAGTACTGGCACCACTGTGAGCAGAGGCTGCTTCGCAGCAGGAGCTTCTGTCCGTGGGGGTTGGTCCAAGCCCCCTGCAGACAGTGGCTACTGTTGGAGCAACCTCTGCCCGTGGTGGACCCAGGCTCACTGCAGACAGGCTGCTCTGAGCCTGGGCCTGCTATGGTCAGGGACTGCTGCCACGAAGCAGCCTCTGCCCTAAGCAGGCCTGGGCTCACTGCAGGCACAGGCTTCTTACCCTCCCTCCGCCCCATGCTGCTGCCTCTAATAGATACACAGGCAGCAAGGGGTGGGAGGAGGGGAGAGGAATGTGAGTATTAGACTACATTAACCAATAAACCTAGGCTTATCAGTTAATCGACTGGTTGGCTACTCATTTACATCCCTAGTTTCAAATACCCTTTTCAAATGAGTTTAAGGCAGTGATCAGTTAGAAGTTTCATAAATGAGTCCTAAACAGTGTCTTCTATTTACCTTCTAATAGTCTATTTAGAAATAAAAAGTTGCCTGTGAGATTGTGAGGCAATATTTTTCTTTTGTCCAGCTAGTGGTGGTTATTATATTTTCAGAAATATTTTCATGATGATTCTCAAATTCTTGGATTTGATAAGATTTCACCAGACCCTGGGTGGCTCAGCTCTGGCTCCCCCTAGGGGCAGGGCCTTGGACGGAAGGGAGGGTCTAGACACAGCCAACCCTAAATGCCATCTGGACTGCCCCTTGCCTTCCCCAGTTGGCACTCAGTGCCACCCAGACTACACCGTGTGGGGCTTTGGTGGTGATTTTAAAGAGCCCTGGGCCCTTTTAAATTGCTGGGCTTTGGGGCAACTTCCCCTTTTGCCCCATTCCCACCCCTTGTTGGTGGTCCTGCTCAAACCTACCTCTGAATGGGTTAGAAACAATTGCCTTTCCATTCCCCTGCCAAGTTAGGATTCTGACAAGGATCTTTTCCTGATATCTTTTTAAGTGTCTTTCTCCTGTGGTAGCTTGGAGGACTCTCACGAGTGACAGGGAAAACTGGTTTGTCAAAGATCATTTATGTGCAGATGAACTGAACATGCACAAAGTGTGGTTAAACATACTTAGTGAAAAATATTTTTGCTCTAATCTGTGTCATTTATAGTCATCATAGTTGTTGCTGATAATGATAGTACATAAAAAATAAAAATCAGAGGTGTGTTTTTTAAGTTGGTGTCCTTTTAGAATCTTTTTAAAAGTGTATTTAAAACTTTCATATGCTTATTTAAAAATCTTTGTTTTAGTGATTGTTTAGTTAGTGCCCAGCAGCATAAGTAACGAAATTCACAGCTAAAACTGGCAGTATAACTAGATAATCCATACAAAGACTACTTTCAGTGGATCAGTGTAGATTATTACTGTGTTTTGATTATCTTGTAGTAATCAAATAGCACACACTTCAGGGATAACCTGTCAGGGTGGGTTAACTTTGAATATTCTTGCTCTGTATCATATCCTTAAGATCTTATAGTTTCTCACTTAATTTTGTTTCCACTTCTTTTTTTTTTATCATCTTCCCCCTCATGCTGTGGTTGCATTTTCTATAACTTTGGTTTCTCTTAATTGTATAGCTGGATTCTTGTATAGGTTTCAAATCATTGTTTACCTTTAGAAGTCTAATTCTGAGAGAATATTGTGTACCCTGGTATCACTGGAAATTGCTAATGCTCAGAATTTCTCAGATGAAGATGAAACTCTGCAAGTGTGTACATTTTTTGTTCAGAATTCTAGGACATGCACTTGTCCATTTAAAGCAAGCAAAGAAGCTAAGTGGTGCTTGAGTGTAACCATTTATCTTATTCACTGTTCAAGAGTGCTCATTTACACAAATTAATAATTGCTTCAGAAGATTAACCTAAGTGGGCACGGACAAGCCACCACTTACAGTAACCTTGTCTGTCTTAAACCTAAAGCCAATGTGAACAGTTATTCGAGTCCCTCTTAATGTTCCATTCCCTTTCTCCATCAGCTATGGAGCTATGAATTTGGGACTCCGAACTCCGTCTTAACCTCTCAGGTATAGGATGTGGGAGCAAACCTTCTAGGGGGGATTGGTCTTTAAAAATGCCACATCATCCTTCAAGGAGAGATAGCAGCAGCAGTTGCTAATATTACTGAGAGATGTGGGTGAATGAGTGAATCTTCTTTTTCTTCATGCATCCATAGAAACTCTGTTACCAGTTCCCAATTCTGAGAAAGTTTGGAAGATGGGTTGTTGGGTGTAGGAAATGGGAATGGGTAGCTCCTTAGCTGCACACTTACAGCTGTAGGCAGCAGAGATATCAAAGCATAAGCTTCAAAAATGATCAGCGGGCTTTCCACTTTCTTGAAGATATTTTAAGCTGGAACTTTGTTAAAGGGAAATGAGTCTTGCCTTCATATAAGATATCCATAGTGCATTGGACATTCTTCTGATTGTTTATTTTATCTTTTTAACAGACTTGGATCATCTACCTAATGAACAAACATGAGTCATTTGAGATTTCTCTTAGCTACCATGAAACCGCTTGGTATACAGTTTCTGATAAAGCAAGATGTAGCCAGAAAGGTATTTCTGCAGAGTCAACGATGTGTTTCGTCAGGATCCACAGAACCATTCTTGAGTGGAAGTAATTCAAATTATGTAGAGGAAATGTACTACACATGGCTTGAAAACCCTAAAAGTGTGCATAAGGTAAGTCTAGACATAATTGGAAAATACTGCTATTAAAGATAAATACAAATATTGATTCCCGTCTTAACTTGTTAGCTATTTTGTAAAGGCTTTTATTAATGTAAAAATGAAACTAAGCTTCTATATATTGATTGAAATTGCAGCAAAAAAAAAAAAAAAAAAGTAAGCTAGCACCAAGTTGTAAACTAGTTTGAAGAATATGGGATGTCCTGGTTTAAAAGACTATTAACAGAAGCAGACATCTGATTTTCAGATTTTTTTTTTATTGCAGTATGATTATTCAGTCAACTGTTTTCCTTTACTAGTAATTTACAAAATTGACATAAGTGTCAAGCCTTGAATATTTGTAATAGGGTTACAATAGGTCCTCTGCTGTCTGTAAATATCGCTCTGGTGAAAGGAGGCGAGTGCTTAATTCCCCAGTCTGGCTTTGGAAATTCCAGCCTTAAATGTTTTGTAAAACCTTTAAGTTTCTGCCTGTAGTTTGAAAAATATTTCACTTTGTACATGATTCTGAACTCCAAACACCTGCTAGCTATTTCTCAATTGTTACCTCTATGCCTGGTATTTTTGTTAATGAAAAACATTTTTCGAACTGTTGATTAATCGGTTAACTTACATGATTAATCTCAGTTTTAATCATGCTGTTAAACAACTGAATACCATTTTAAATCTTAACTTTTAGCATTTTTTTCTACGTTTTCAAATATATTGATTATTACCATACAGAATACAAAGTGTATATTGCTCCCTTTTTGTTATTTTCATTATAGATCTTTGCACTGTGAAAATGATAAAAAGCAATAGTATTTTTCGATTCACTTACTACAAGTACTGCAGAACAACCTCCTCATCAAAAAAGTGCAACATTTAAAAAGATAGGATTTTTTTTTTTTACATACTGAACTGAAAAAACATAGTAAAAACCTTAGCATCTTCAAGTCCGCTCAGTCTTACTACTTGTTCAGCCAATTGCTAGAACAAACAAGTTTCTTTGTTTGAGAGAGATTGTAAATTAAAAGTGGGAAACAATGTCACTTGAAAGTGAGAACAGGCATTCACATCGCACTGTCGTAGCCAGCATTGCATGTTGTTTGTCAGATATGCTACGTAGCATAATGTCCTGTCTTGCTTTGGGCACCATTCCAAAGGACACACTTTCATACTGATGACTCTTGCTTAAAAAAATGTATTTAATTAAATTTGTGACTGAACTCCTAAGAACAGAATTGTATGTCTCCTGCTTTGTTTTACCTTCATTCTGCCATATTTTTCATGTTACCGTCTGAGACTCCCATGACCCAGCACACTTTGCTAGTTTTAAGAATGCTTTTACTGTAGACTTGGCAAAAAAATACCTACAGAAACTGGGATTTTAAGCATGTCTACAATACCATGTTTTGTTGCCAAAAACTGCCTTCTGGAGACAAAACAGTGAGAGAATTCACAACAAAAGTGAATTCCCAGACAAAACAGTGAGAGAATTCACAACAAAAGTCATGTTGTAGTGTGTAACTCCCGGTTTCAAAGACACAAAACTTTTACCCCACAAGAGACATTTTTCCTCCTCTCTTCACTATTGACAAACATATCACATACACACCATAGATTTTTTTTTTTAATGTTTATTGCACTCCAGGAAGTTTCCTACAAGGCCATGCAGCTGGTCTGGTCATTGATTTGAATTTGGGTGCCCTGCAGCCAGGTAAACAGCAATCTACCCTTCCCCCTTTCAATCTCTGGGAACTTTAATTCCATTTCCTGCTGGCTGGTTCAGCATCTAGTACTTTCTTGGCATCTCCCCAGCTGATCGTGGCTGGCTCCAAATGCTCTCCATCTTGGACAACCACAGAACTATTGGATCCAATCAGTGTATGGGGAGAGGAGTCGGTACGGTCCCAGTTGCGAGTGACCTGTAGGAACAGGGACTTGTGCAGGCAAAGTTTGTGAGTCTCGTATGAAAAGGGCTATGTGTGGGACATGCTGCAGCACATAGTGAAGATAAAGGAGCCGAGGCAGGCGTACCAAACCGTCGCTCCTGTGCTGTACCTAAGACCTGTCAGTTTTATAAATAACTAGATGCAGTCGTCAGTAGTGACCTCATCTCCATTAGCAAGAGCCTCATGGATACTTTGTAGGGCATTGAATCAGCAGAAAGAGGCCTTAACCCAGAGGAGGAAATAAAAGTTGGAGAAAGAGCTAGATGAGTCTCTTGGGCTTCCAGTGGGAATGTCCAGTGTGGCAGGCAGCCTGGAACTATTTTCCACTCTTGAGGTGCGTAGTCAGTCTCAGCTCTCTAGGAAGCAGGAGATGAGAGGCAAGGTAAGTGTCTGCTGCTTGTGGAGTGCAGAGGTGGGTGTAGGGCACAGAAAAGTTGGAGACAGCTCACAGAAGTGCAGCCAGTGCATAGTCCTGTGTTATGTCATTATGCTCAAGCAGGGTGTTGATATGCACAGAGGTCTCAATACAATCTTGCAGAGAGATGCTGTGGAAATGTTGCTCTAGGTACTTGCTAATCCTCTGCTGAAGGTTGCATGCAGTGCAGCTGTGTTTCTTCCTCTATTGTAGGACACTGTCCCATACTATTCTGCAATCACTGGTGCAGGAATCAAAGCAGCACATACGTGGGCTGCAGATGGAGCAGGGCTAAAGCTGCTAGCATTCAGTAGTTGAACCCTCCTGACCTTCAGCAGTGAGATGTTTGCTACAGTGAAGAAGTGTGGGATAATTAGGATAATTCCCCTGCAAAGCTGCTCCATTAGCCATAACTATATTCTCTTTTGTCCCTATGCATGTCCATTATACCCCTATTTCCCCCCCCCCCACACACCCACTTTCTCACGGATCTCAGCAAGTACTGTAAACATGGAAAGTGATTGGATATGTTGCAAAAAATGCTTGAGCTGGAATTTAACAATCTCTCTGAATTGTGTTCTACAGTGGAGACCTTGAGGTTACAGAGATGTACCCCAGCAGAGAGACTGTGGAAGATAAGAAAGTGGCTAAAACAGAGAGGATTTAGTTTGTGGGGGAGTTCTTGACCACCTTCCTGAGTTGGGGAGGCAAGAGGAGCTCTGGGTAATGGAGAGACAGGGCAGGAAGGACTCCACTGACTGGATGATAAAGGTCATGGAGTAGCAAACAGATGCTCAAGTCTTTAATCAAGCAGCAGATGAGCAGATTTGGGTTTGACCTCCCCTGTGACACATACTACTTCCCCTGTGGCACACACACAATTCTTCATTCAGCAACCACCGCCCCCATCTATGCCTGCACATTCTTTTTCACCTGCAAGGAATCCTCAGTTTCCCCTGCACTCCACAACTTAGACTATGATAGCTGGACCTATCCACAGTTGTGAGGTTTTCCACTTCTGAGAAGGTTTTACCCTTATCAGCAAAACTGGGTGCAGTGGCCTGTTCTCTGTAATCTATCTTGATCAATAAACGCAAACCTTTTTTTATTCGTACAACAATTTTATTTTCTGTCCCACAGACTTGTAAAGTAACTGCTTCAGTCCTAGATACATGCTGTTCAAACATTTTCTTGCATGGATATATGTTACGTGGGATGCAGCAGGGAAGCAACTGCAAAAGAGGTATTTTAGTCCCTCTCATTGTCAAAGTGCTGCCTCAAAACCTCTGTGATGTTAATAGTATCACTCTGGGCTACTCTGACAGCCCTTGTGTCTGGCTGCTCAAACTCTATAGTCAAGCACTGTGCCTCAGTGCTTCACATCTGAGCAAAAATTTCACCCTTAGATTCAAACAGAGATCATGCAAAGTGCAGCACGTGGGTATGACCATGGGAATATTTTCCTCCATAAAAATCTAGTCTGCCACAAAGACACCTCAATCTCTCTTCCAGTTTGTCAAAGGCTCATTCCTCTACGAGGCAGTACTTGCTCAGCCTGTTGTTAAAACACTCCTTACTGCTGTCCTTGTGCCCTGTGTAACGTTTCATGAATCAGGACTATAAGGAGTAAGACGATAGTCAAGAAAGAAAGCCCCCACCCTGCAGCTTTGTGTACAGGCTAGTGTTCCTGAAGATGTGTGCATCGTGCACCTCTCCAGACTGCCCTGTGTTAATGTCTGTGAAACGTCCACAGTGATCCATGAGAGCCTGCCTCACCATCGAGAATTGTCCCTTCTTATTGATGTACTCTTTGGCAAAGTGGCCTGGTCACAGCTGGGAAAGCCGATCTCTGCAAAGCCATCCACTGTCATGCACCTTTCCCAGAGTCATGGCCGCTCTGCACATTTACAGTAGTATAGCCTGTACTGTTGACTTCCCCACTCCAAAGTGATTTGCAACTGATTGGTCATTAGCTTTCACACAGCAATTGCCACATGCTTCTCACTCTACTCAGGGGGCAGCTCCATTCTGGTGTCCTTGTGTTACATACTGTTCAGGGATCAGCTCTGCACAGAGCTCCAGGAAGGTTGCTTTGTAAAGTGTTGATTGTCAAAGCATTTTACACTAATCATTTCATTCTGCTTCATGAGCCACTTAAAGGGCACTAAAGGAACAACTGAACAATCTAGAAGCCACTGGTCCTCATCCCATGCCTGCATGACATTGAGATCCCACCAATTAGTGCTGCTTTCCCACCTAGCCCAAAAGTGACGGTCTACTCTGTTCAGCTGCTCTGCAAGTGCCAAATGCAAGGACAAGTTGCTGCTGTCCATATTTCACAGATTGTCAGCTGTCTGTGAGTCTTTTTTCCTCTGTCAGTAATTTCAAGAGTAGCTGCGTTGCCACGTGTGATGTCCTCACAACGCTTAGCAGATCATAGAGAAGTGCAGGTTCCATCCTTTCTTAGTGCAGATACTGGAGTGCGCAGCAAAGAATGGCATGAAAGGAAGCCAGAAATCCTTAGCAGGCTGGGAAACAAAGTGGTCCTGACGAGATAGTTTGCACAGTCCCAAGATGCGCCATGCTCCAGTTTGTGTTTTTACACCATCTAGCCACATAGGCCATTACTAGGTATTGTGGGATAC